ATCTCTAACAATTTTGTATAGCAGTTAAGCTCTATTGTTTAACGCTCAGTTCGCTGTTTCTTTTTCACTACCGACAATTGATACATTTGTAACTTTTTAAGTCGTAGTGTTCCTGTGCCGCCATCGATAACACAGTCATGACAAAGTGGTCAAACAACTAAAATTTCTTTCCAACTGTATTTAAAATAATACATAAATTTATGTATAAGAGAAATGTCAAATTATTTTAATTTACCAATATGGCAATGGATTAAAAAAAAATTTTAATCTATTTTTAGCCATCTTGATTTCAATATTTTCTATTCGTTTTTTATTTTTTATTGTCATTATCATAAATCAAAATAATATTGATAATGAATATTCTCAATTAATCATATGTATATATGGAAACTTGTTAAATATTTGTAATAAACTCTGAACTCTAAAAAAAAAAAATATCACATCTAATAATCTTATATCCAACGTTTTTTTTTTTTGGGATGGAGTCATAATGGTGTATTTAGAATAAGAAATTAATTATTAATTATTTTAACATTTAAAAATATTCAATTAAAAAATAATTTATATTTTAGATGGATAGAAGTTGGAGGTTCAGAGGGAAATGTCCGTAGAATGTTTCTTATTACTATAAGTTATATCTTACCTCTCCTTTTTCTTTTATATTGATTTTATTGTAATTATTTAGATTTTTGTTAGAAATTAAATACACAAAATATTTTACTTATTATAGAATCACATCCGTGTAACGACCCTAAATTCAATATACTCAGAACCGCTACATGCTCATGTAATGTGCAAATATAGCTCTTAAAATCGCATCATTTATAACATGTGGGGTCAAGCTTAGGTCAAGCTTGGAACTTAAGAGTTCTCCTTAGGAATGGTCCAATGTGATCTTGTGCACGTAGAATCTTGTCAGCGACCAAGTGTACATGTGGGGAATCCCTTATTTCATGGATACCTCGTTAGTCATCCTAGGAGGTAAAGCCGTATGTATCGTGATGAATGTTTTTCCCCATATCTTGGTTTCACTGCCTAAAGTTTTCCAATGGACCCCAAACTTTACTACCTTATACAAACTCATGAGATAAGGATTCATGCAACATCTCATAATATTTGGAAGTCATTTAGGAATTGAACCGTAGGTAGTTTTCCTTTGAGGCACTATGGTCATTTTTCGCCGTTGCTTGGTTTTCCTACTTAACCTTATCTCATGACCATCAAATTTCATAATTAATCTCAACATATTATAATATGCAGAGTATTAAAATTTCATAAGCAGAAAAGTTCATTTAGCGCGTTAGTTTAACCATCTCCAACAATTTGATTGTTTCGAAGTCTTAACTAACAGTTCTTTAGATTTTTCTTACATGTAACTTTAAAGAGATTAAAGAAACACCATAAGTCTAAATTATCATCCACCTAAATTTTATAACTACCTAAGAATAAATGAAGTTTTATTTTTCTTTTAGGTGACATGAATTGCAACATTTTGTTATAATTTAAACAACATTTTCTTTACATTTTGGTTGCCGTTTATATTGCATGATTGTGATTATTTACCCCTTTTTCTATATACATTCAAGTGATGAGTAGTAGAGGGTTAAGTGTCTAAACAAATTAGAAGGGACAAAATTACAATAATGTCCTTACTAAGTAAATAAGTTAAATTACTTAAAAAGATCTTATATGAAACCTATTTTTATGGTTAAGAATTATTGTAAAATATCTTAAACTAAGTATTTATGCCTAAAATAGACTCCAAATGACTTAAGAATCTAAATTATGGATAATTATAACAATATCAAAAACTATGTAAGATTTCATCGTAACTAGATCAAGTTTAGATCCTAAACCACGATTGGAGTGGAAAGAGACAAAAACACACGTAGGACCTCGTGATGTTTCTAAGTATTTAACGAACTTGAAATGATATGAAAGTTTATATGAGACTCATTTATAAAATTGTAGACGATTATATATGACTTCAAATTTATTAAAACATGGTTGGGTATAAGAAAATACTATGATAGAAAATTATGAAAATAACCTAGGGAATCTTTTATTAACATTGATGATTTTTATGAACTCCAAGTGACATGATATGTTGTAGGCAACTTATTTAGTACACCATTAAAGATTCATGCATGTAATTACAAAATATTTATAGTTATGACCTATGTGCTTGAAATGGAGCTTAAAAATATCTTATTGTGACTTGTGCCTTTAAAAATATCTTATTGTGACTTGTGCCTTAAGTTTTGAGAAGAAACTTTAGAGTTAGAACGAAAGAACTTACGAACATAAGATGTCGCTCTAAGGTCAAGAACCATGTAAGATAGGTTGGTCCCAAAGAAAGTAAAACTCAAGTACTAAGCCACTAAGACTACTATGTTCTACTCTAACGATAACCTAAGTCACCCTATTCTTTCCACCATGATTTGCATTATGATCACATGTTTTCCTCGCCTAGATCAGATGCCCTACAAATGTTTCTTGTACGACTTCGTGTCCATGTTTCTTGCTAAGAGATTCTAACCATGTTTTATTTGGAGCATGTCCTCATTCTCTTTCTCTAACAAGTTTAGGTTATCTCTCTCGATTACATGTTTAGGTTCATTATATTCTCCAACCATTTGACCTTTTTAGGTCTTCTATGGGTAGTAGTAGTTTTTCGACCGGACAAGGTTAGGTACAAGGATTGGCTAAGTATCATGACTCATGACCCATGATTTAGGACCAAGATCATCATGAGAAGAAACTATGATAAGCTCTTAGTCAAATCATAGAGATACTACCTCAGCACCCACCATTGACACGATTAAAAACCGATAAGTAGGCTACAAATAGCGGTGACAACCTTGTTTTTTACCATCAAACATGATCTCAAAACTACAAAAAATTTGAATAACCTTACTATTTATAAGGATAACAAATGTGGTTTCAAAACTACAAATACTTTCACATCCTTATTCCAAATGCTATAAAAAGGTTCTATGAATGAGACAAGTAATCTAATCAAGTACAATCCATGGAGAAGAAAATATCTACGGTGTTAATAACATAAAATATCAACTTATTTCACATAAAAAGTACCATAAGCTAGCAATGGTATGTTTTTATTTAAAAATATAATTATTCTTAATGATCCTCAAATGAAGGGAGGGAGAAATTAGAAATTGAATAGTCAAACATTCTATACTTGGAATACTCCCAAACCCTCAAAATTTAACACCCTTTCTAAATTTGGTGGTCTTTTCCAGATATAGTTTTCCCATCAAACTATATATAGGGCTTCACATTGTAAGAAAAATCCAAGCACCAACATCTTAGCAATTGCTACTCTTCATCATTTGTGAAACGAGCTTGTAACCTTACAACATTAAGACACTCTACAATGGCCATCGGCAAAGGTTTCAAGCTCTTTCATACCCTTTTTCTAATGATTTCTTGGCAGTATTGTGCAAAAGTTGGTGCCACTTTTAGTGATGTCACCGGTGTCGTAAATCTCGATCATCAATTTTCATTTCGTGCCTTTGCATCACATGACAAACAAACACCAGATGGAAGCATTGCTCTAACTCCAGAGGCTCCATTAGATGGAAGCATTGCTCTAACCCCGGAGGCTTCATTCGATGGAAGCATTGCTCTAACCCCAGAGGCTGCGTTCGATGGAAGCATTGCTCTAACCCCAGAGGCTGCGTTCGATGGAAGCATTGCTCTAACCCCAGAGGCTGCGTTCGATGGAAGCATTGCTCTAACCCCGGAGGCTACGTTCGATGGAAGCATTGCTCTAACCCCGGAGGCTGCGTTCGATGGAAGCATTGCTCTAACCCCAAAGGCTGCATTCGATGGAAGCATTGCTCTAACCTCGGAGGCTGCGTTCGATGGAAGCATTGCTCAAACACCGCCGGAGGCTGCGTTCGATGGAAGCACCATTGCTCAAACACCGCCGGAGGCTGCGTTCGATGGAAGCACCATTGCTCAAACACCGCCGGAGGCTGCGTTCGATGGAAGCACCATTGCTCAAACACCGCCGGAGGCTGCATCGGATGGAAGCACCATTGCTCAAACACCGCCGGAGGCTGCATCGGATGGAAGCACCATTACTCAACCCCCGCCGGAGGCTGCATCGGAAGCCGGCAGCATGTCTCAACCCCCGCCGGAGGCAGCATCGGAAGCCGGCAGCATGTCTCAACCCCCGCCGGAGGCAGCCGGCAGCATTGCTCAACCCCCGCCGGAGGCAACATCGGATGGCAGCAGCATTGCTCAACCCCCGCCGGAGGCAGCATCGGATGGCAGCAGCATTGCTCAACCCCCGCCGGAGGCAGCATCGGATGGCAGCAGCATTGCTCAACCCCCGCCGGAGGCAGCATCGAATGGCAGCAGCATTGCTCAAACCCCACCGGAGGCAGCATCGGATGGAAGTAGCATTGCTCAAACCCCAACCATTGCACCAATTGGAAGCATTGCTCAAACCCCGCCGGAGGCAGCATCGGATGGAAGTAGCATTGCTCAAACCCCGCCGGAGGCAGCATCGGATGGAAGTAGCATTGCTCAAACCCTGACCATTGCACCAATTGGAAGCGTTGCTCTAACCCCGGAGGCTGCATCGGATGGAGGCAGCGTTGCTCTAACCCCGGAGGCTGCATCGGATGGAGGCAGCGTTGCTCTAACCCCGGAGGCTGCATCGGATGGAGGCAGCGTTGCTCTAACCCCGGAGGCTGCATCGGATGGAGGCAGCGTTGCTCTAACCCCGGAGGCTGCATCGGATGGAGGCAGTGTTGCTCTAACCCCGGAGGCTGCATCGGATGGAGGCAGCGTTGCTCTAACCCCGGAGGCTGCATCGGATGGAGGCAGCGTTGCTCTAACCCCGGAGGCTGCATCGGATGGAAGCAGCGTTGCTCAAACCCCGACCATTGCACCCATTGGAAGCGTTGCTCAAACCCCGACCATTGCACCCATTGGAAGTGTTGCTCAAACCCCAGAAGTGGCATCGGATGGAAGCAGCATTGCTCAAACCCCGACCATTGCACCCATTGGAAGCGCTGCTCAAACCCCAGAAGCGGCATCGGATGGAAGCAGCATTGCTCAAACCCCAACCATTGCACCAATTGGAAGCGTTGCTCAAACCCTAGAAGCGGCATCGGATGGAAGCAGCATTGCTCAAACCCCAACCACTGCACCAATTGGAAGCGTTGCTCAAACCCTAGAAGCGGCAGCGGATGGAAGCAGCATTGCTCAAACCCCGACCACTGCACCAATTGGAAGCATTGCTCAAACCCCGGAGGCTGCACCGATTGGAAGCAGCATTGCTCAAACCCCGACCACTGCACCGATTGGAAGCAGCATTGCTCAAACCCCGGACGCTGCACCGATTGGAAGCAGCATTGCTCAAACCCCGGACGCTGCACCGATTGGAAGCAGCATTGCTCAAACCCCGCCGGAGGCAGCATCGGATGGCAGCAGCATTGCTCAACCCCCGCCGGAGGCAACATCGGATGGCAGCAGCATTGCTCAACCCCCGCCGGAGGCAACATCGGATGGCAGCAGCATTGCTCAACCCCCGCCGGAGGCAACATCGGATGGCAGCAGCATTGCTCAACCCCCGCCGGAGGCAACATCGGATGGCAGCAGCATTGCTCAACCCCCGCCGGAGGCAACATCGGATGGCAGCAGCATTGCTCAACCCCCGCCGGAGGCAACATCGGATGGCAGCAGCATTGCTCAACCCCCGCCGGAGGCAACATCGGATGGCAGCAGCATTGCTCAACCCCCGCCGGAGGCAACATCGGATGGCAGCAGCATTGCTCAACCCCCGCCGGAGGCAACATCGGATGGCAGCAGCATTGCTCAACCCCCGCCGGAGGCAACATCGGATGGCAGCAGCATTGCTCAACCCCCGCCGGAGGCAACATCGGATGGCAGCAGCATTGCTCAACCCCCGCCGGAGGCAACATCGGATGGCAGCAGCATTGCTCAACCCCCGCCGGAGGCAACATCGGATGGCAGCAGCATTGCTCAACCCCCGCCGGAGGCAACATCGGATGGCAGCAGCATTGCTCAACCCCCGCCGGAGGCAACATCGGATGGCAGCAGCATTGCTCAACCCCCGCCGGAGGCAACATCGGATGGCAGCAGCATTGCTCAACCCCCGCCGGAGGCAACATCGGATGGCAGCAGCATTGCTCAACCCCCGCCGGAGGCAACATCGGATGGCAGCAGCATTGCTCAACCCCCGCCGGAGGCAACATCGGATGGCAGCAGCATTGCTCAACCCCCGCCGGAGGCAACATCGGATGGCAGCAGCATTGCTCAACCCCCGCCGGAGGCAACATCGGATGGCAGCAGCATTGCTCAACCCCCGCCGGAGGCAACATCGGATGGCAGCAGCATTGCTCAACCCCCGCCGGAGGCAACATCGGATGGCAGCAGCATTGCTCAACCCCCGCCGGAGGCAACATCGGATGGCAGCAGCATTGCTCAACCCCCGCCGGAGGCAACATCGGATGGCAGCAGCATTGCTCAACCCCCGCCGGAGGCAACATCGGATGGCAGCAGCATTGCTCAACCCCCGCCGGAGGCAACATCGGATGGCAGCAGCATTGCTCAACCCCCGCCGGAGGCAACATCGGATGGCAGCAGCATTGCTCAACCCCCGCCGGAGGCAACATCGGATGGCAGCAGCATTGCTCAACCCCCGCCGGAGGCAACATCGGATGGCAGCAGCATTGCTCAACCCCCGCCGGAGGCAACATCGGATGGCAGCAGCATTGCTCAACCCCCGCCGGAGGCAACATCGGATGGCAGCAGCATTGCTCAACCCCCGCCGGAGGCAACATCGGATGGCAGCAGCATTGCTCAACCCCCGCCGGAGGCAACATCGGATGGCAGCAGCATTGCTCAACCCCCGCCGGAGGCAACATCGGATGGCAGCAGCATTGCTCAACCCCCGCCGGAGGCAACATCGGATGGCAGCAGCATTGCTCAACCCCCGCCGGAGGCAACATCGGATGGCAGCAGCATTGCTCAACCCCCGCCGGAGGCAACATCGGATGGCAGCAGCATTGCTCAACCCCCGCCGGAGGCAACATCGGATGGCAGCAGCATTGCTCAACCCCCGCCGGAGGCAACATCGGATGGCAGCAGCATTGCTCAACCCCCGCCGGAGGCAACATCGGATGGCAGCAGCATTGCTCAACCCCCGCCGGAGGCAACATCGGATGGCAGCAGCATTGCTCAACCCCCGCCGGAGGCAACATCGGATGGCAGCAGCATTGCTCAACCCCCGCCGGAGGCAACATCGGATGGCAGCAGCATTGCTCAACCCCCGCCGGAGGCAACATCGGATGGCAGCAGCATTGCTCAACCCCCGCCGGAGGCAACATCGGATGGCAGCAGCATTGCTCAACCCCCGCCGGAGGCAACATCGGATGGCAGCAGCATTGCTCAACCCCCGCCGGAGGCAACATCGGATGGCAGCAGCATTGCTCAACCCCCGCCGGAGGCAACATCGGATGGCAGCAGCATTGCTCAACCCCCGCCGGAGGCAACATCGGATGGCAGCAGCATTGCTCAACCCCCGCCGGAGGCAACATCGGATGGCAGCAGCATTGCTCAACCCCCGCCGGAGGCAACATCGGATGGCAGCAGCATTGCTCAACCCCCGCCGGAGGCAACATCGGATGGCAGCAGCATTGCTCAACCCCCGCCGGAGGCAACATCGGATGGCAGCAGCATTGCTCAACCCCCGCCGGAGGCAACATCGGATGGCAGCAGCATTGCTCAACCCCCGCCGGAGGCAACATCGGATGGCAGCAGCATTGCTCAACCCCCGCCGGAGGCAACATCGGATGGCAGCAGCATTGCTCAACCCCCGCCGGAGGCAACATCGGATGGCAGCAGCATTGCTCAACCCCCGCCGGAGGCAACATCGGATGGCAGCAGCATTGCTCAACCCCCGCCGGAGGCAACATCGGATGGCAGCAGCATTGCTCAACCCCCGCCGGAGGCAACATCGGATGGCAGCAGCATTGCTCAACCCCCGCCGGAGGCAACATCGGATGGCAGCAGCATTGCTCAACCCCCGCCGGAGGCAACATCGGATGGCAGCAGCATTGCTCAACCCCCGCCGGAGGCAACATCGGATGGCAGCAGCATTGCTCAACCCCCGCCGGAGGCAACATCGGATGGCAGCAGCATTGCTCAACCCCCGCCGGAGGCAACATCGGATGGCAGCAGCATTGCTCAACCCCCGCCGGAGGCAACATCGGATGGCAGCAGCATTGCTCAACCCCCGCCGGAGGCAACATCGGATGGCAGCAGCATTGCTCAACCCCCGCCGGAGGCAACATCGGATGGCAGCAGCATTGCTCAAACCCCGGACGCTGCACCGATTGGAAGCAGCATTGCTCAAACCCCGGACGCTGCACCGATTGGAAGCAGCATTGCTCAAACCCCGGAGGCTGCACCGATTGGAAGCAGCATTGCTCAAACCCCGGAGGCTGCACCGATTGGAAGCAGCATTGCTCAAACCCCGGAGGCTGCACCGATTGGAAGCATTGCTCTAACCCCAACGATTGCATCGACTAGCACACAAGCTTGAGAGTAATTGTTAAGCATGGATGTTTCTTTGGCTATTAACAAAGAAAAACCTAAGCCAAACAACCAAACAACTATTTTGTAGGCAAATTCATTATTTCTATATTGTTTTTCTAAATGGAATGATTTTCCTACATTTTTTTCTCTAATTATCTATTTTAACTAAAGAATTTTTTTAAAATTTAAGGAAACACGTTTTTAATATGGCACAACTTCACTTTTCTACTTAAGTGATACCATAACTAATGAATTTATCAATAAAGTATTATAAAATGTCTCGAATACATAACTAAATTTGTTTGCAAGATTTAAAATCAAACTATTTTTATATTAATAAAATCGATTCTAATCCTAATTAGAATATTATGATTTGGAGAAAGTTGCTATAGTGAAATCGGTAAACACGCTCCTCTTAGGAAGCTGTACTAGAGCATCTCCATAATATTCTAATGAAAATGATTATCAATATAATGAATTAAATTATTATAATCTTATAATAATAGGATTTTGTGATTCAAAGTTGAATCGAAATAAAGAATCAAAATCAAATACAAGACATCAATCAAAACAAGACTTTGTAGAATTGAGAACTTAACTATTGTCAAACATAGGATTTTATGAAAAGTTAAAGGTAAGACTGTAATTTAATTTTGTGTTGAATTGAAAAGACATTCCTCTCCCTTTTATATACATATAGCTAGTGTAAATTTTTTTTTTTTTTTTTCAAAATAGAAAAATGGAAATTTCAACCCCACAAAAATAAGCTAGGGTTGTAACTTGGTAAGATTTTAATTTTTTTCTTGACAATTTTATACGCCTGCAACTTTGCTTTACGATCCACAACGGTCGACCTAGTTCATACTCCTTTATAGCCACCGACAATTGATACATTTATAACTGCTTTAAGTTGAAGTGTTCCTTCGCCACCAAGCCATGGCGGCGTTCGCCACCAAGCCATGGCGGCGATGGTCAAACAAACTAAGATTTCAGCCGTCCTATTTAAGACATCCAATAGGGTTAAACATAAAAAAATCCTCTAAGATGTTGGAATGACTCTTAATTTGTGATTTGAAGTTGAATTGTTTGTCGAGAGATATAATGATTCAAAACTAAGCATAGTTCAAACACAGGATTTTGTATCGAAATATAGGATGATTGTAATTTCGTAAGGTTTCAATTTTGTTCTCCGACAATTTGTACAACTGTGATTAAGCTCTGCCGTCTACCGCCCGACCCAATTTGCTCCTTATTTACCGCCACCGACAATTGATACATTTGACATTTGTAACTTCTTTAAGCCGTAGTGTTCCTCGGCCGCCATTGAGTCATGGCAACGGTGGTCAAACAAACTAAAATTTTAGTAGGCGTATTTAAGAATTTAAAGATAATACATGAATTTATGTATAAGAGAGATGTCGAATTCTTTTAGTTTAACAATATGTTTGGCGATGGATTAAAACAACATTTTAATCGATTTTTAACAGACAATACATGCTTTATACTCGATGAGCCATGTTGATTTCAATATTTTCTATTTACTTCTTATTTTTTAATTGTCATTATCATAAATCAACATAATATTGATAATGAATATTCTCAATTAGCTATGGGTATATATACTGAAACTTGTAAAATATTTATAATAAACTTTAACCGGAAAAAAATATCACATCTAATAATTTTACATCGAACGTTCTTTTTTTTTTTTTTTTGGACTAGAGTCATAATGATCTAATCACAATAATAAATTAATTATTTTTACATCTAAAAGTATTCAATTAAAAAATAATTTATATTGCAGATTTAACAAGAAAGATGTATCTTGATAATTTGCCAGTAAGGTAATTATATTTTACATCTTCCTTCTCTTATCAATTATCTAGATTTTTTTATTTTTTTTTATTTTTGTTAGAATTTAAATACCAAAAACATTTTACTTGTTACATAAATCTGGTCAAAATCTAGAATTTTTTAAAAGAAAAAAAGAAACAAATAGAGAGAAAGAGGGAAGATTGTGTACAAAATTAAAAGAAGAATGAGAGAGAAAGATCAATGAAGTGCTACCCTTTTTAAATGGGTTGTATAAAAATAATATTATAATAAAGGTATATAAATATGTGTATGAAAATAATATTATAAAAAACATATATAAACATTCCAAAACTTTATTGTTGCGAAGACGCATTAGTTCGCATAAAATCTAATACATGGATCATTGTAAATTAGATAAATAATTATTCAGAAGTTCAATATAATATCATTGGCTCACCTAGGTTGCCTTGAATTTTAGTTTAAAGAATCAGGTAAGTGAATTAGTGACAAGAGCTTAAGCTGATTAGGTGAGTAAACTTGTGGCCCCAACATGAACCATAATATTTTTTATGTTATGCTTGTGTGGTTTATGCATTGAAATATGACGTTTTATTATGTATACAATGTCATGTCAATTACATCACGTTAGGAATAAAATGAAATGCTATGAAATAATAGAATTGAAAAATGATGTAATAGACTATGTGATGTTTACTAGGTATACACAGTGCATGTATGGAATATGTCATGGATGAAATGAGAAAAGAAATAACGTCAATACTATATTTTAAATGTAAATCATGGGCATCTCATACATGTATGTGTGTCATGTGCATCGGGATACTTCCCTGTTATGTTCATGCATACATGTATGTGTGTCATGTGCATCAGGATACTTCCCCGTTATGTTATGTTAATCCGGGTGTGTGTCTTCCATATACATGTTTCGCATGATATCATGGGGGTCTTTCCTTTTCTATGGCATTTGGTGATGTGTAACACATTAAGCTTGAACATGTTAGGCCCAGGGGTACGTATATGAGCCCACCTTGCCCGAAACTGAACATAGTCCAAGCACATGTGACTGTTTAAAGATAGGTCTCAATCATGTTATGTGTGTGATTGCATTGCTAAATCCAACCGTCGGATGATTAACTGAGTATTTCGTAAAATACTCAAGTCACGTGTCACCCTTCTACTTTCTACGTAAAAGTAAAGCTCCACGCTCGGATGACGATGAATGCTAGAAATATCATGGTAGTCAGAATAGGGCATGATAGAGCAATAGAACTCATTCAATTTTATTTAGTAGTTGGTAAAGGTTTTAAATGCAATTTTTTTTTTTATATTAAAAAATATGTTAGGTTTAATTTATTGTTTTAAATTAAATATATAAGTCAACGAATTTATTTTTAAATTATTTATTATGAACTTTAGCCTATGAGATTAAAGCATGTTTGTGTAACGCCACTAATTTTGGCTAAGAAAATAGGGCGTTTCATATACTATTCTTCAAACAACATCTTCAATGCAAGTCACACGAGGCACACGTTTAGCAACGTTCACCTTCATTGTGACACATGCATATGTCGCAGGTTAGCTCAGTTACGCAATAGCGCTCAGGGTGGTGGAGAGTTTACACCATTCCTCCCTCTAAGTACATTTTGAACCATTTCAAATCTGGCAAGTGTGAACATGTTTTAGGCAAACAATCATACGCTGTCATAAAGCATCGTATAGTCTTCCATTGACACAAAATTTTGTGAGCTTCCATATTTCATATAGACGGACTTAATTCCAAAACTACATACCCAAATTCTCTCTAACTCAAGCTTTAGAGGTTAATGCTGAAGGCCCCGCCTTAACCTTGAAAAAGCCTATTTTTTATAATTATGTCAAAATCATTGCATTTGTCTTGCCTATTCTTTAGCTTGGTTTTCTTTGGTGCATTGGATGATGCAACGTCCTCCTCGATCCCTTCATGGATTGTCTATTTTGGTCGTTGCCTGGCCGGATTGGTAACACTTGAGGATTTGCCACTTTGCTTGTTGTTACGTAAGGGTCACACTGTTTGAAACCTTACCTCTCCAACTCCGTTCAATACACTTCTCCCCCTCGATTTCTTCAAGAAACCTAAAAACTTAGTCAAAAGGATGAGTTAGGGATTGATTTCTTACCTTCTTGTGGATTGTATGATAAGTTATTCTCCTCCAAAGTTCATCAAGAATTGTTTTCCTCATCGGAGCTCAACCCAGAAAAAGCTTATTGGCTAGCCATTTCTAAGGGTTTTCCGGGAATCGCTTCTTTATTATTCCCTCCTGCTAATTGAATTGGTTTGGGGGAATGTCTTCAAGTGTGTGACCTTAATTTAGAGAAATTTTCTTTGTTTAGCAAATCACCCCAAAACACCAAATTAAACTCTCTTTGGCAGCTTGATCTACGACGTTTTTTATTTCTTATCAAAATTACTCATCTCAATCCTCGTAAACAAAAGGAATGCTCAATTTGAAGAAAAATAGACCGTAGATAGGAATTCGATACTTACCCCCATTTTGAATCGAAAATTGACTTTCTTCGATTACACACGTTCTTGAGGTTAATTCTCTTCGTGGTCTACAACAAGAATGTTTCTTGAAGGTGAAAAAATTGAATGGGATTGGCCTTGCTCGATGAATGGGATTCGTATGGGGGAATGGGTTCTAGGCTCATTCAGCGTTTGGTTCCTTTGTAGAACTTGTGGGTAATCTTGTTTAGATGGCTTAGGAACAAGTTTGAAGGGAAATGGTGGAGAATTTCTCTCAAATTTGGATGAAAATGGAGAGTAGGAAACCAAAAAACTAAACGGCTATAACTCACGATTCCAATGATGCCAAAATACACCATCTTTTAGCTTCTGTCATCAAGCATTTTGATATAGGGCTTTACGGTCTTAACATGTGCTACACAACCAAAGATTTTTAGATTCTTGAAGTGAGGTGTCTTACCGATCCATGTTTTGTAATGGGTGTGAGTGTCCAACGCCTTCGTTGGTAAACAGTTTAGAAGATGAATTGCATGTCCTATTGCCTCGCCCCAAAAAATTATTGAGACTTGCATGCTCTCAAGTAAGCTTCTTGTAGTGTTCAATATGGTGCGACTTCTTTGCTCGACTACACCGTTTTATTTTGGATTGTATAGTAAAGTGAGTTTATGCTTGGTACCTTCCTCTTTGCAAAATTTTGAGAAGTTATGGTTTAAGAATTCTTCACCTTGGTTGATGTGAAAGGTTTTTAGCTTGTGACAGACCTATTTTCTTGAATGAATGTAATGCCTCTCCTTTTTCTCAGAGCAGGTACACTCACATCCAACAACTATAATCATCAACAAGAGAAAATACTTATTGCCAAAAATCGACGATGAAGTGGTCAGGCTAAATAAATCTGCATGGACCAGTTGTGTGGTTACTCAGCACGAATCCTAGTTTGAGCTAGTAATGATAGTCTTGCTTGTTTGGAGACTAGTAAACTTTCACATAGTTGGTTTGGGTGTATGATTTTAGGTAGCCCCGTAACAATCAAAGTAAGGGTAAAAGTAATACAAATAAGTTTAAGTAGCTCATGTAAGGTCTAAAGGATCTAAGGAAAGGATGGGAGGATTCCAAGGACAAAGAATCATTTAAATATCCTATAAAAAGTAATTTTAAGGATTCAAGTATTTATTCCTTTTTTTTTTTTTAAGGAACTTTATGAATTTTATTAAGAAGGAGAAATTCAAGGTGCTCAAGAAGGGAAAGGACCATAAAGGATGAAATTTGTTAGAATAAGCTTAGAATTTTTGGAGAAAGAATAATAAAATATTTTTAAAAAATGGGAAATTACAAAAATACACCTAAACTTTGAGATAATTACGCAAATACCACATATCACAAAATTAGATATGCAGCCATGAGGAGTGATAAGAAAATCCTTGAATCTGCGTTTTTAACGTATAGATCTAAATTAAATTTGAGTTTGTTCTAGAGGAGACACATCTCATCACATTAAGAAAAAAAGAATTTAAATTGGAGGTCAGTAGCTCGGAGATAGAAGAAATATTTTCAATGAGAAAGCTAGAAAACTCAATCTTAATGATACTTAAATATAATTATTTTTAGAAATTGAATAGTCAAACATTTTATACTTGGAATACTCTCAGCTCCACAAAATTTAAAACTCTGACTAAATTTGGTGGTCTTTTCTAGATATAGTTTTCCCACAAACTATATATAGGGCTTCACATTATCAGAAAAATTCAAGCACCTACACCTTAGTCATTGCTGCTCTTCATCATATGTGAAACAAGCTTGTAACCTTATTTAAGACACTCCACAGTACAAAGGTTTCAAGCTCATTCACACTTTTTTCTTAGTGATTGCTTGGCAGTGTTGTGCGAAAGTGGTTGCTGCCACTGCTTTTGGCGATGTACCGGTTGGAAACACCACTCAAACTTGAGGCTCTAACCTTGGAGGCTGCATCCGTTGAAAGCATTGCTCTAACTTTGGAGCCTGCACCACTAGTTAGAAACATTTCTCAAACCCCAACTTTGCACCCATTGCAAGTAGCATTGCACCACTAGTTAGAAGCCTTGCTCAAACCCGAACTTTAAACCAATTGGAAGTAGCATACATACTCTCGCTAATTGGAAGTAACACACTAGCTTGAGAGTAGCATTTCGAGGTTTCTTTGGCTATTAACCAACAAAAACCTAAGCCAAACAAAATGACTATTTTAAGGGCAAATTTATCATTTCTATATTTTTTTCTTAAATGGAATGATTTTCCTACCTTTTTCATATATTTAATTTTCTATTTGAAAATTTAATAACACGTTTTAATATGGTACGGTTCTACACTTTACGTGAGGCCATACCCAATAAATTTTTTATGCATTAATATAAAATGTCTCCCATACCTAATTAAATTTATTTTTTTTCTTAAATGGAATGATTTTCCTACCTTTTTCATATATTTAATTTTCTATTTGAAAATTTAATAACACGTTTTAATATGGTA